TTTTTTCTTTTTTGTTTAATATTGCGGTGTATTGTGTGCTGAACCGTTTTCTTTTTTATTTATTTATTTTTTTTTTATTTTTTTGCCTGCAAGTTATTTAATTGTATTTGAAATATCGTACATAATATGTATGTGTGTATATTTCCGGTTGCTTTGACTTAATACACTTAATACACATATATAAGGTACCACTCTTGTGTAAGCACATTTTTTTAAGCCAACCATTTACAAAGCGGGGGCTACATGGCGAGAGAGAGAGAGAGAGAGAGAGAGGGAAAGAAAGAAGGAAAGCTTGGCCAAAACAATGCACAGGAATTCCCTACTGGGTGTTTATAAGATTTATTACCATTTATTTACGTTCATTTATTTTGGACAGTCTGAACTATGTTTATTTTGTTGTATTTTTTTATTATTTCATTCTTTTTTCTTTTTTTTTTTTTTTAATGCATTTTCAACAGCAGACAAGCACGTACAAGTAATATATTGGAGTTTTTATTTTCTTATTAAAATTTGCTGCTTTTTTTACCATTTTCTTTTTTTTTGTTTTTGGTTTTTTTTTTTTAGGGATTCGTTTACCTTTGCCGTTATCAGAAAATATCTTTGATAATTTCTTATAAATTTTTTAAAATTCTTTAAAGCATACCCTTAGGCTGTTTTAATGAAAATTTTGTTTTGCATTTAATTGCAGATAATTAAATTTTGTTAATATATCATAAAAATTTCTTTTTTCTAACGAATTGTATGCAATTACTATACAAGGACTGACGTTTTCTACTACACGACCCCTTATCCTTATACTTGACACATTTGGGCGTTTTGCTAGAAGTTTCGTTGAAAAAAAAAAAAAAAAAAAAGACTTTTAATTTAATTGCAATGTTGTTTATTCTAGTTACTTAAATATATGAAATATTTTGAGTTTATTGTTCCATATGTTTAACTTGTGCCTTAATGGGAAAAAAATCAATTGATTTCATTTACGGCAATTAAATGCATCAAATTTTTGTATATGCGCGAACTCGTTTTCTACGCGTATAAAAAATATTGTTTTGTGTGTATGTGTGTACAGGGCTTGCATTCAAACGAGATTAAATTTGCAATTTACTTTTTTTGAATACACGACCGCAAAGAAAGAACGAAAATCGAATCGAAGACAGATTACATTTTTAGGTTGTGCTGTTGTTTGTTGAGCGGCTACAAATGGTATCTGATTGAAATTAAAATTCAGTTTTAGCCACAAAATCTTTATTAATATGTACTATATATGTTTATATTAAAAAAAAAGAAAAGGTTCGAGAAGAGAAGATCGAAAGATCATATCAAAGGAATTGATTGCTTATCAGATCTCTTTGTTACATTTACTAATAAATAAATAGGTATACAAAAGCATGGCACAGTCTAAACTACATTCATGCTTACGAGTTTCGAGACAATCGAATCTAATTTTCAATCTTTTGCCGCATATGGATGACAATCTTCAAGCAAATTATTATTCTTAAATTTCAGTCCGATCACTTTAACTGGCGACTTGCGGAAGAAGATCCCATAATCTTCTTAGCGCTACTTGATCAATGCATTGACGATTCGGTCACAGTTTTCTGATGTTCGCCCTAGCTTGCAAACAAGCCGGACATATTGTGAAGGTCTACCATATGCCAAGGTCAACGTTTTCAAGACACGATTCGTTATTAACGCAGAAATGATTATATATAACAAATATTATGCTATACATATTATGCTACACATACGCAAACATTTCACGGATTTGGAAAAAGTTAGAGGTAGAGAAGGAAAAAGTACGCAACGTAATCACTTGAATTTGCCTCTTTTTCAATAGCAGACGACTTGAGTGGAATGACTTAATAAAAGTAAACTTGAACAAGGAATTCAAAATGTTGCTGAAAAGCATTCTCAATATGTATCTGCAGGGTGAAGGTTAAACGTTGACGCGAATGCGTCCCTTTTAAATGACGAATCTTTTGAACTAAACCATATAACGAATACCTTTTGACAGTGTATTGCTTGTAAAGATCTTTTTTGATTAACACTATCTGCTCTAATTTTTGTTAGTCTTAAAATTTGTTCTAATATAATTTAAAAGGAAAATTCTTACTAAGGCCATAAGGCTATAACAAGATATGAATATAACGCAATTCGATCAACAACAGAATAAAAACAAAAGTTTTTTTTTTTTTTTTTTTTTTGCAAGCGCGTAAAGGAAATTTTTCACAAATTCGATCTTGTCGATAAAGTTCCTATATACGCATCTATTGTCGATTATGGGCTTTGGATTGTGCGTTGATCTCTAATTCTAAAAATTCTGCAATTGTGGGCGTTTCGGGCATTTATTCAAAATTAAGTTACGAGAAATTTTCATTTTTATATTTCAAAATTTGCTGCATTGAATATGTAAGAAGGCGCCTGAAGAATAAACTGACAACCGTATGTGATGATAAGCTATGGACAGTGATATCGTGCTTCATAACATCTCGACGAATATTGC